AAATTGCCTAGCGTGTGCAGCGCGTAGGCGAGTAGGGAATGGGCAGTGGGCTTCACAGCCTCGTTTTAAGTCTCATTTGCTGGGGTCCACTTTGCTATTTTGGGTTTTAGGTTTTAGGTCATAGGTTGGAGTGGATTTTTTTTTTTTTTTTTTGGGAGGGAGGAGGGGAGGGAAAGGGAATTATAGGTTTTAGCCCATGGTTGGAGTGGGTCTTATGGAACGGGCTAAAGCAGAATCAAAGTCTCAAGCTGTATTGTGCATCCAGAACAAGAGAAAGGCAATGCCTTCGAGATCAAGCATCATATGCTCAAAATTACGTTTCATGGGCTGTAGAACGAGGATGCATGTATGCACATCACAAAACTTTAGGTGGGATGCAAGAATATTTTGATCAGGGGTTTTTGGTTGAAACTATCAAGCTAATTCGTCTTTTTTTGTCCACGCCAAAGGAGAAGGTCACCCTTCCGACTGGAGGATCGTTGTCTTCTAAGTCAGCTAGGGAGGCGTTTAAATTATTTGACATGATGGCCAATGAATCTTAACAATGGGCAACAAAGAATTAACCAAAAAAAATGGTATTTTCGAGATGTCAGTGGGATTTCCACACATGTCTGCACAGATTGAGAAGATGGAAAAAGAAATTTGATGCAAATTTCGACTTGATTATGTAGCAAAATTTTGCACCTACATAGCAGCGACTACCTGCGGTAGCAGCTTGTATAATCTGGAGAAATTTTTCGTTGCTACCGGAACACGGAGGGTACATCATGTGTTTTTATATAAGTGATGAGAAATTTTATTTTTTAAGTTATTAATTTTTTAACACACATATCCCACCACTTGTATAGTGACACGTGGTGTACCATCTTGTGTATTGGTTACATTGAAAAATTTCTCTATAATCTGCAACATGCGCACTTATGATAGACTGGGTTGCGCACATAAGGATGCTTATCTTGAACTTGTGGAGGAACTTGTTAACATGCTGAATAATGATCAGAGGCCCTAGAACGACCTTGATGCAAACCATTACAATTTGGGATGGAGGGATCATCCTAATTTCAAGTGGGTTAGAACTTGGAAGCCAACAAGTTAAATCGTTTCAGCAGTCCTAAAAACTTGCTGCGCCACCCAAACGGACCTTAGAAGACCAATTCGCTATTAGCATGTTAACATGCCTAATCTAGAGAAACAATTTGGGCAATCAGTGAGTCAGATTTCTGAAAGGTAAAAGGGCAAATTTCCCAGCCAAACGGTGCCTAATCGAGGGGGTCAGCAGAATTCAGTGCAGTGAGGACTTTATGTTGTTGAAAAAGTTGAAAACAGTGAAGATGACCAAACCGAGGAAAAGACAAAGAGACAACACAACCAGCTGCACAAAAGCCAATTGTCGAGCCCATTGTAGCACCAAAACCAGTGCATGAGCGTGTTTATGATCCCCCGCTTCCATACCTCGAGAGGTTAAAATCGAAGGTCAAAATCAGCAATTGAAGGACTTCATGCAAACACTAACGAATGTTCAAATCAACCTACCATTGTTGGATGTTATAAAGATGATTACTTCATATGAAAGTTTTTTTTAGGGATGTGTTACAAACAAGAAGAAACTTGTGAACTTCAAGAAAGTGATTCTAACGGAATAATGCAGTGTAGTTTTTTTACTACACATGATGCCATCGAAAAAGAAAAATCCAAAGAGTTTTACTATCTCTTACATATCGGGTATTTCTGATTTTAAACATGTTTTAAGTGATCTAGGTGCTGGTATTAATTTAATGCCTTATTTTGTTTTCAGTGATTGGGGTCTACCTCCGACTATCGCCAAGAAGACTTTGAGCACTATGCCAACCTTGTAGCCCTCAACAAAATAGGAAATGTAGGCTTGCCTAACGCATTTGAGGGCTGCGCATTACAAGTTCCCAGTTTCGGTCGCAAGTGCCTAGTTAAAAGAGTTCAGACATTGTATAGCATCATTTTTAATGTCATCATCCGAGCCCTGTTTGCAGGGGAAAAACCTAGCCGATAGCCACACGGTTGGCTAGCTTTTTTTATGTGCTTTTCATATCTGACGTTTGGTTCCTTCCTCCATCATGTCATAACCTATGTCGGTTTTTCAAAGTCGACCCTCGCCTTGCCCTTATCCGACACTACGATAAACTACGGAACAGTCCTAGCCAGGATAGATTCTGCCACATGCTCAGCTCCTGTCTACTATTTGTAAACAAATCAAATCAACATTCCTACAAGTAGAGCTGGTTCCTTGTGAGTGGCAACTGGGAAAGCTCGGCTAAGGTAGAAGCAACAGACGCTCCGGTTGCTAGGTGCTTTAGGAATAAGGGTTGTAACAACATAGTCTGCCTCCTCAGTATCCTAGTGTCTCGTAGTCTCTTATGAGTTTTCTAACTTAAGTATAATTTCCCTCATTTTTTCTTTGTAGTTGACTGGTTTGGGCAGATATCATTCTCCAAGGAGGAAGAGCTTCAGTTGGTGGTTCTCCATTACCATTATCCTAACCGACTCCTATTTACAAATGATCGGCCTTCTAAAAATTAAATTGCATGGTCTCTCCATACTTGTCCCTGATCTGAACGGACTCACTTCTACTTGTTCATTTCTAACTTCTTCGTACGTTGCCAAGCAAATTGTCTGCCGAGCTATGGGGAAAAAAATTAGGTCAGCGAGAGTAGGTCGGGTGTTCAACTTAACAGTCAAGGCTATTCCGTCCGTGCAAACCATTCCAAGCGCTAGTAGGAACAAATCCTTGGGCAAGCACCCGGCTAGAAATAAGCTAGAGGCCTCGGTTTTTAAGTGATTGGCAATCAGCGTATCCACTCCTCTAAGAATAAAGGGGTCAGGTTCGACTGTCAGTACCTCGCTTGGGGGACACCGTGCATCGAGGGGAACGCCCATAAGCAATTAGCATTTGCCTTGGATCTATAGGCTGGAGTAAGTTTTTCTTCCTAACGCCCACAAGCAAATAACCTTATGCTTACGAAACGTCTTTTCTTTAGTTAATTGTCATAATCTTTTTCATGTGCATGATCTTTTTGCTCAATGCTAGGGGCTCTGACACCTCTTCTCCGAAAAAAAGTAAAGTGTTAAACTCGAGTGAGACCTAAGAGGCTTCAAGATGCCTTGGCAGCTAAGGAGATGAAGCTTCGGGCCTTCAGGAGGACTGTCGAGAAGGTAAAAAAGAAGAGTGCTTAGCTAGAGCAAAGGAACGAGCGCCTAGGAAGCAGGTGAACGAAGCTGCCACAAAGAAACTTCAGGCTGCTCTGGAGCTGTGGGCGGGGCTAACGATACTGCTCGGGTCTTGAGAGAGGAGAACGAGCAGCAAAAGAGAGCCTTAGATGAATCCTCCCATATCGGCGGCCGGGATATAGATTTTGGGCCGAAGAGGACATGAACTAAGATTTTGCAGAGAGCATTGTTTTAGCCTTCATTTTTTAAGGATGCAAATACTTGATGTCAAGCTTGTGATCGTTGTCCATGAGTGGGCAATCAGTCTAAGCGAACTAAGATGTCACAGCAGAGTATTATGGTTGTCGAATTATTTAACGTTTAGGGCATTGATTTCATAGGACCATTCGCATTGTCCCATGGGAACAAATACATTCTTGTGGCTATGGAATACGTTTCTAAGTGGGTCGAGGCAAGTGCAGCACCTACTAATAAAAGGTCAGTGGTCTTGAATTTTCTCCAAGGTAAGATTTTTATTGAAATGGCCTAATAGGCCCAGTCAGTGAGAACGCAAAAACGACGCTCAGTTTCATGTCGTCCGTTTAATATGAAGCAACATTCTCGTCCTTAACTGGTAGAACCAATTACTAAAGGATAGTAGTAGAGAGATTTAACTTTTTAAATCAAATTTTGTAAATCATATGACGTGGTTGTAGAAGATTGAATTATTGATTAAGTGTTGATTAACATGTTTATTTTTATTAGTGACACATCATATAATTTGTAAATTTGATCTAAAAAATTAGTATGCCTAGCATTATTTAGCTGCAAAATACACCTTGAAATGTGGTTCTACTTTTCAGTAAAGAGATAAGACACTACAATATTCTGACATTAATATCCGCAAGTACAAAAAGTTGGACAAAGATTGTCTGCCCTCCCACTTCCGATGCCCTCCCGTGCCCTCCTGTTTTGTGTGGTCACGATTAAGCCACGTCAACATTTTATATTATATTTTTTTTAGAGAGATAATAAGACAAAAATGAATAGTAATATAAAATGTTGACGTGGCTTAACCGTGACTACACAAACAGGAGGGCACCGGAAGTGAGAGGGCAGACATCCTTGTCCCAAAAAGTTAGCTCCATCCATGGTACATAAACGATTAACGAAATCCTATCAAATTATCCACAATAGTTGTCTGAATGTTCATACTTTAACACTTTTACAAGTAATACAAAAAGATTAAGTGATATTATATTTTTTTATGTTTTTTAAGAGTAATATTCTATTTTAAACTAATGTACACTACGGCATGCAAATTGAAACTCGAATGCAAGGGGGATGAATTAGTTTTATTGGGTTTTGTAAAACTACTTTTGTTTGGTGACCGATATTAGTGTTCTGATCAATTAGTAGTGGACGCTAGTCAGACTCGTTGAAATTTTAGCAAATAAATCATTCAATTGTTAATTGAGTATTGGCGTTGGACTAATTAGTTGTAGGATGTTTATCCGTCTCTCTAAAATCTTAATAAACGAATCGTTTAAGTAGTTAATTTTTTGTAAATGTGAATTTTCAATGCATAATTTGAATTGATGTGATTGTTTTGATGATTTTCAGCTGCTTGCCTTCCGGCTTGGAGTGTGCAGTGCAGACTTTGTAATAAGCAGACTACGTGTAAGAGGAAAACACAACCCTTTTGGGCCATTTCGAAATGGTTCACCGAGAAAATTTTAATAGCCGTTGGAAAGAAAGAACTCCCTCCCATTTAAACCGACGGCTCAGATTCACTCAATTCAAACTTTAATGCAATCAAAACCCCACCCTCACAAATCCCTCCGGTCCTGAAAACAAACGCTCTCTCTCTCTCTCTAGCCCTCTGAGATCTTCGTCTAAATTCACTACCCTCTCTCTCTCTCTCTCTAGAACTCGCATTCTTGCTGTGATTCGAATCCATGGAAGGTACTCTCCTGAGTGTCCTCTCTCTCTCTCTCTCTCTCTTCAATTTTTTCTTGTCTTTTTATTTAATTTCTTGTTAAATCGTCGAGCGAGCAATGTAATAATCGCGAATTTTTCTGCTTTAATTCAGATCAAACGGTGGAAATGTTCCCCCAAATCTGCAAAGACGTCGTTCCAGATCACGACCCCAAGTCCTCTTCGACCTCTGGCCCAGGTTGTGTTTTTGTTTTATTTTATTCAATTTTCCCCCTTTTTAATTTTTTGAATTACAAGAAAACGTTGAATTTGAGGTTTGGATTCGATTATTAATGCTTCAAGTTTTAATTTTATTTTCCAGCCCTAGAAAATGTACAATTGGGAAATTTTCTGATCCGATTTCGTCCTTTTTCTTCAGTTAAAACCCTAGAGACGATTACAACCCAGTTGGACAGTGACGTGAGCAACAGAGGTGGCTAATTTCTGGAATTTTTGGTTTTTTAATCTTTAATTTTTTTTTTAATGGAAATTGGGAATGTTTCAATTGTGAATTTCAATTGAGTAGTTGAGTTGTAAAGAAAATGGAAATGTTAATGTTTTTTAGTGGTCGTTTAATTCAGGCTCTAATTATAACATTGTTTTCAGAATGTACTCCCTATATTGCTACCGAACCCGTCGATGGTGATTCTGATTTGATTGGTGAGAGTAGCACGTCGAAGGGAACTGAAGAAGGTTCTCCAGGTCAGATGGTTCTTCCAGTTTTGCAGAAGATCACTGATTTGACTACCAAAATTCAGGTGATTCTTTAATATACCATTGTATTTTGTTTACGTCGCTTTGAGGAAAGCTTAGAAAGTGAATGGAAGCATTTGTATATTTGTATATTCTTTCTGTTTTGAATCTTTCGACAAATGCAATAAACGTTTTTGGTTTTGTTCTTATTCTTTAGGATTTGAAGAGAGAGCACACTGCCTTGTCTGACGAAGTCAAGCTCACAACGAATTCCTTTCCAGACCCTGCAGTTCTAAACACCATTCAGCTTCTAAGTGAGCTTTTTATTTTGATCACTTGCGATTATTTTCTAACTTTCCTTCTCTCTTTGATTGTAATTGGTTGTTTCCGGTTATCTAGGTATTGAACATGAACTTTTAAAGAAGAAGTACCTAGATGAGTCGTCTGAGCGAAAGAGACTATACAATGAAATGATTGAGCTTAAAGGCAACATCCGAGTTTTCTGCAGATGTAGACCTTTGAATCAAACTGAAATTTCAAGCGCATCAGGTTCCGTTGTTGAATTCGAATCCTCCCTAGACAATGAGTTACAGGTCATTTGTTCTGATTCCTCCAAAAAGCAGTTCAAGTTTGACCATGTTTTCAGACCGGAGGACAATCAAGGTACATGAGAACACATACTGATTTGTAATTGCACTGTCTAGCAGTTGATTTTGTTAGGATGAATAACTTGTAGATAGACTTTGAATTGTTCATATTGAGCTTTTCAAACGTCCAGAGGCTGTTTTTGCTCAAACGAAACCTATTGTGACTTCGGTGTTGGATGGCTACAATGTCTGCATTTTTGCCTACGGACAAACTGGAACTGGCAAGACCTTTACGATGGAGGGTACTCCTGAAAACAGAGGTGTTAACTACAGGACTCTGGAGGAGTTGTTTCGGATTTCAAAAGACAGAGGTGGCTTAATGAGATATGAGTTATGTGTTAGTATGCTAGAAGTTTATAATGAGAAGATAAGGGACCTCTTGGTCGATAACACAAATCAACCGACAAAGAAGTGAGTTTTCTTCTGCTTTGATGTTAACTGAGTAGACTTTGCAACCTTGCATATAGAAAATTATTTATTTGAATCAAGTATCAACATACACACAGTTTGGGCTCTTAAGATGTTGAACCAAATTGCCCTCTGATTGACAATTGGAATCCTTGCTTGGGAATTAGTGTAGAGAATTGGACAAATAGGTTATATTTGATCTTCACCACTCCCAACACTTGAACGAGTTTAAATGCATTTATTTTTAAAAGGTCCGACCTTTTTTATGTTTATCTATTGGCAATCTTAAGAATCTCAGTTGGAGGATATGTAATGTTGATTCATGGTAGGTGTACTTATTTTGTGTTTATCTGTTCAAAGGTTGGAAATAAAGCAATGTGCAGATGGAACCTTAGATGTTCCAGGACTTGTTCAAGAGCGTGTTTATGGCTTTGAAGAGATGTGGGAACTGCTAAAGTCTGGAAGCCAAGCTAGATCTGTTGGATCTACCAGTGCTAACGAGCAGAGCAGCCGATCTCATTGGTAACTTTCATGCTCATAATCTCCTTAATGTCTTCATTGTCAGATTCTAAATTAAATGCTGAGGCACGCGTACACTGAATGTTTCAAATCAGTGAGAATATAAGGAAACATGAGGCAACCAATTTTTCTTTCTATGGTTTCATTCAACATTCAGTGAAAATTTGTTTTCTGCAGCTTGTTGCGGGTGACAGTGAAGGGGGAGAACTTGATAAACGGGCAAAAGACAAGGAGTCAACTGTGGCTCGTAGACTTGGCTGGCAGTGAGCGTGTGGGGAGGATTGATGTTGAAGGTGAAAGACTGAAGGAATCTCAGTTTATAAATAAATCTCTCTCGGCCCTTGGCGATGTTATCTCATCCCTTGCATCTAAAACAGCCCACATTCCTTACAGGCAACTCTCTCTCTCTCTCTCTCTCTCTCTCTCTCTCTCTCTCTCTCTCTCATACACACACAAGGATTTGGTTACCATATCTAAACTTCTCTTCTTTTGCAAAAACCAGGAATTCAAAGCTTACTCATATGCTGCAGAGTTCTCTAGGTGAGCCTTTATAGTAATATTTCACTTCAATGTGAATGGCTCCTATAAATTGGTTATACATGCATGATTTTAATTGAAATTGGATTTGCAGGAGGAGATTGCAAAACCTTGATGTTTGTCCAAATCAGCCCGAGTGCCTCAGATCTTGGAGAGACACTGTGTTCACTGAACTTTGCCAGCCGGGTGAGGGGAATAGAGAGTGGCCCTGCTCGCAAACAGGCAGACCTCAGTGAGCTGTTCAAGTACAAACAAATGGTATGTGTTATAAGTTAAAGCATACTTTGTTCTAGTTTATCTTGGTTTCAAATTACAAAAATTTTAATATCCAATTTAACAGGCTGAGAAGGCTAAACATGACGAGAAAGAAACCAAGAAACTACAGGACTGCATACAGTCTCTGCAGTTGAGGCTTGCTGCGAGGGAACACATTTGCAGAAATCTACAAGAAAAGGTAATCTATCTTCAAGACGACAACTCATGGGATTTATTGAACTTCTGGTTGTTCATAGTTACATAACTGAAGTTTTTTGGTAGAATCGAGACCTTGAGAACCAGTTGGCTGAGGAAAGGAAGACCAGACTGAAACAGGAGACTAGAGCTTTTGCAGCTGCTTCTCATCAGTCTTCAGCATCATCATTCCGGAAACAAGGAGCCCAGAAAACTGTTGCAGAGAAGAAACCACCTTTGGCTCCTCCAAGAGCGAGGCTACCCCTGCGAAGAATTTCCAACTTCATGCCCCCACCATCATCTGCTTTACCTCCCAAAAAAACCAGCTCTACAACCTCCGTCCCATCTTCAGTGGGTGGCAAAGAAAATATCTCCACAACAGCACTGGCAGGAAGAAGCCAGAAAAGCCTAATTTTACCGAGAAGAATCTCCATTGCTGTCAGACCTCCAACTGCAACAACACAACAGGTTCTTCAGCCTAAGAGACGGGTCTCCATTGCTACCTATCGCCCTGAGCCAAGCTCTCACATGATAACACCCCTCCACACCTCTGCCTCTCTATCCAACAGTGACAGACCATCTTTCGCAAGGGATCCACGAAGGGCACGGTACTCAAGGTTGTTCTCCCCAATGCCTGAATTGAAGTCGGAAGCAGAGACAACACCAACCACAATGAGGAGAAGCAGCAAGTTCATGGGTAGTCCCCCGATATTGGCTGGTTCAGTCAGAGCAGCGAGGCATCCAGCAGCTGTTGCACTACTACGGAAACCAGTAGTTTGGAGTCCACTCAAGCTGAGAAGCATGAAAAACAGAAGGCCATCACTGTTACTGCCTCCCCGGGTTTCAAATGACATGCAATGAATCAATTCGTCATTGTCTATATTTTCAAACACCCTGAAACAGTAAATGTTCTTGTTTTCTTTTTCTACCTTGGAACTATTGTGATAGTACTGAAAATGTATGCTTCTTGCCTACTAATCATTCATTTCGTTGTTGAAGCACTTTGTAGCGTTTCCTTGTTGAACCAAGAAAGTTTCGATTTCAAGAATCGTATGATAACCTTCACAAATTAGACTGATAATTCAATTTGCAATGAGAAAACATGAAGATCCATAGGCCATGAACCATCTTCGCCGGGTCACCGGGTGGGATGGCAAGGGATGGGCGACGGGCATCCGTTCACTCATACCTACCAGTGTATTAAAAGCGTGAGGTGTGAGTGAGGCGAGGCGTCCGAGGGATAGCTTGGCCTAGGTGTGAGGTGTGAGGCTGATCCAAATTTTTTAATATATACATTGAGTGTACACATATATTATATTAAAAAAAATTATTAATCAATAATCACCTTGAACGCGCGCACACACACACATATATATATATATATATATATATACACACACATATATTATATTATATATATTAAATAGAAGATGAAAAGCACAATGAGCATACATATAACAATGCACGCAGACAACACACACATCCATTATATAAAAAAAAATATAAAAAAAGGTAGAGAGATGATAGTGCAAGGAAGAGGTATGAGGCAGTTAAAACCTACCCAAAATTTGGGTTTGGGAGTAAAAAATAAATAAAAAATAAAAAACCCAAACAGAGTCACCTGGACGCCTTGAGGCGCGCCTCTGCCGCCTAGGCGCCTCCTGCGACTCCTTCCGCTCACTCCCTCAAAACAGAGGCAGCAACCCCCGCGCCCAGCCTTAAAGGACGCCTAGGCGCGCCCTGAGGCTAGCCTTTTAAAACATTGATCCCTACACATCTATCTTTGCAGAGATTTTAAATCTACATTCTTAATTAGTTGGGTAAAAAATTTCACATTAACTTTACGCAACTGCAAAAGTCAATTTTCACAACATTAAATATAAGTTATTCATGAGCAATTCAAAAGGGCGAAGACAATATTTTCTTAGTGAAAGTAGAAAATGAAATTACAAAATATGTGGTTCAAATTTGTACATAGTATCCATGGAGGTTCATGGAGTGCAGCTGTACAATAACTAAAAGTAAGAAAGAGTATCAACCGTTAGATCTCTTTTTTCGTCAAACGCTGACCGTCAGATCTATGCGTAATCACTGGTTCTCCTTTCAAGAGAGGAAAAGTTGACGGCCAAATTGAAAACGAAAAGTAGCCGTTTGCGTGTGATTGGTTGGAGAAATTAGACCGTTGGACACCTAAAGAGAAACATAAACAAAATATCCGTTGCTTCGAACTCCGTTTGACTTCATCACTTAGAAGACTAACTGCGAAAGCCAAAGGGGAAACCAAAGAGAGAAAGGAAGAGAGAGAGAGAGATCGATCTTGAAGACCCACTTCCCACTGAGAGTTGCTCTGTGTGTGTGTGTCTTAAGTAATAAAATGGTTGCGAGAACCCCACCAAAGCAGAGGAAAATGGTAGCCCCTCTCAATCCTCTTCTCCTCAGGGAAACAGTGAAGAAGGTGAGAGCTACGTCAACTGAGATACTTCCAACTTTTTCCTTCAAAACAAAAAAACCCAGAATTCAAAGTTCAGTTCTTTGTATTTCCGGCATTGATCTTTGGTGGAATTTGAACATCTCTCGAGGATTTTCTAGTGTTTTGAACTAATGGGTTTGTGTTGTTTTGTGGGTTTGTGAAGGTGGATAGATGCATGGCTCGGTTGCAGGAGCTGCAGTACACAGTTTCGGGCGGTACGAAGGTGATTTCTGGAGTGAGTCTCAGCCCAAGGAGCACTCGAGGTTATCTCAGGACTAGCCTCCGATGTAAACAAGAAACTGCGAGGCAAGAATTTGACTTGAATTTGATCTGTACAAACCAAGAAAAAAAACGGCTTTGGTTTTTTTTGGTTTTTTCATTAGTTTTGGTCAATTTTGAGATTGAAACTCAATTGGGTTTTTTTACTTATGCAGGATTAAAGGTTCAGCCCCTAGAAAATCTCCTGTTGGCAAGTTTCCTGCAAATGCAGGAGGTCTCTCTCTCTCTCTCTCTCTCTCTCTAGATTTGGGGCAAATGGCTAACTAGACGATATTCCAAACTACTTTAATTGCGAGGAGGGGATTCTAACTCAGTGCAAAGGGTCTGGCGGCACGACCAACTAACCTAACTTGCATCTACAAAATTTTGTTTTTTTCCATCCTGACCTGATCTGGAACCAAATAGAGCGAGATTTTGTTGAATTGGGCAATAACATCATTGCTATTATATTTCAGGGGAGTGGCAGAGAATGTCGCTGCCTGCAATGCTGGTCGACGAAACAGTTGGAGAAATCCTACAAGCAAGTAAGTTTGCAAGAGAAATAATAGCAGCAGTTGGTAAAAAACCCCAGAAAACCACTTCAGAAGACCCCAAAACCCCAATGACACAACAGAGGAAACAGAGGCAAAACCCCGAAAACACAGAGCTCAGAGCCAGAAGAAAGAAGGAGAAGCACAACAAGTCTCAATCCACTCGATCAGAATCTGGTTCGCCGATACTCCAACGGGCTCGTTCCAGGATCAATTTCAAGGTCTCACCTCCACACAAGAGGGAAATGGAGAAAGAAAACAACAGATACTTGGCAAATCGAGTGTCTCCGAAAAATAGGCCATGGGCTAAAAAAAGTGTGTTGTTTCCCAACCCCTTGTTTTCGGCTTCGGATTCTTCTCAGCAGCAGAAGTTCTGCAGAACAAGATCACCAGTCATTGGTAGAAATGATGGCAGTAATAATAGGCCACGGATTCATACGCCGCACAAGTTCTTGATCAAGTCCCCGCCTTCTGCTTCGAAGTTTCCTTCATCTTCCAAGTTTCAGATCAAGATCAGGAGCCCTCCATTGGTTTCTTCTCTGTCTCCAACGAAAGCCAAGAAGTCACCAAAGATGTCGACTGCCTCAAAACTTCGCAGGTCATTTTCTCCTTCGAGATTGGCAACTAGGTTGGTGTCTCCATTGAAGAGCAGAAAGAGTTTGCAGAAGAGTAGCGAGGGAGGACTAGTAATGCATGGTTTGAAACAGCGTCCAACGTCCTCGATTCCAATGGGAATTTCAGCTCGGAGAATTTGAGAAATTGGCTTGGTTTGATTCTTTTATACCAGATATTTTCTTGATGTCCATAGTTTCGAATTTTCATTGTTCAATTTTTTTCTTATGGGTGCGAATTTGTCTTTCCATTTTTCAACTATGTTAGATCAAATTTTCTTTCCTTTCTGTTGGTTAAGAGCTTTCACCCCTACACTCGAGGGCCTACGCTCGAAAGAGGGGTGCTTGGGAACACCTTTTCGAGGACCTTCGTTGACAGTGGTCTAGACATGAACGACCACTCTCCCTGGCTTTTGTTCGAACAAGGACGGCCTTCCTTGTCCTCCAAGTTTATTTTGGTGGCCTTTTATAGGCTGTTCTTTCTGGGTAGTTACTGTGTTAGCTAGTTAGGTCAGAGAGAGGGAGCGAGAGACCGAGCTTACTACAAACATGAACCATTCTCTATCAATCACTAAAATCAGAAGCACACATCAAAAGTGGCATTCTATACTATCCTGTGCCATAGGATCCAGATTACTATATCAATAATACAATTTCTATGCACCGGATACCAAACACGAAAACATGTATAATTCCCCCGCCCCAAATAGAATACATTCGCATCCAACAATTTTATACAAGCATGCTTACAGTAGCTTGGCCTTTTGTAGGACACACAAGCAATACCACTATAGGTGGTTGCACAAAGAGGCATTGAATTTGGACGAATCAGATGTTGCAGCACTGTGGAGCTGGATTCTGGAAAGCCGGAGAACCAGAGACATTTTACTGCTAAGACTGAAACTCCAACTCCAAAGATGAATTCCCAACAGGAAGCTATGACTGACTTCCACGTCATTTGCCTGGAGAAGCAAACCTAGTTCGTTCTCTCTGCCTATTTAAACCTCGATCGTTCGGAGATGATGTCTTCCCTCCTACACCTGCTTGGCGCATCATCTCTGCAAAACCACAGAAATTTGATAAAAGCATTTTACGTTAAGTGACGGTCACTAAACTACGTATAAGACGGTTTGTTGGTTTATATGCTTTAGTTCGTACAACTAAACTTCAGACGAGATGTATTTATGGAGATATAATCTTCGTGGGCAAATCAAAAGCCAATCAAAATCCCACAACTTCGGGACTATTTATGTCAATCAACATAAAATCTTAAATGGTTGTAACCCTGGAATGCAGACAGTCCTTCAAACTTTAACACAAAAGGCAGCTGCTATAATAACCCTATATAGTGGGAATTAGAAACCACACGAGGAAAAGAAAACTCTACCTCGCGTTCTTGCAAGCTCTAGATCAAGCTCTTCTTTCCACTTCCTCTCTCTTTCAGAGGAGCTTATACTGTGAGAAGTATCATATATCAAGTTACTCAAAAGGGTAGCAAGAAAGGAAAGAGAAAAATAATCAAATGACATGAACTAACCTTGGACTGCCTGGCTCTTGCTGACTGCGTGGAGGAGATGGCATGTCCTGTGCAGTTTGAACATTTGCATTGCCAATATTTGAAACGCGCCTGCCATTGCTCCCAGGGCTTCCAGTAATAAGAGCATCAGCTACTCCCCGACTAGGTGATCTAGTTTTGGGAGGTAATTTCAAGTACCTTGAGGTGGGTTCATTAGGCGAGTTATCCGCAAAATTTGGAGAGCAAATTACATTCAAGCTGTTGTAGAACTCTTCAAATAATGGCGTTTGCAGCTTTTTAAGTTCTAGGGCCTGAGATTTTGAGCAACCACACAGTTCAGAATAATCAAGTCCAAACCAAAATTTACGAAAGTATGACTTCACAAACATAGAAGACACCTAATCCTGACTCCAACCAAAACTGTACCTTCTCATCCAAAAATGCCGTGATTTTTGATTCAGTAAGTATATCATCTTCCTCCGCAAGTGATGCACCGCAAGGAAATGAAAACCCTTTATCTCCCCCTCCAATTGTTCCAGAGTTTCCGGCAGGAAAATCAATTTGGTGAGTGGTATCCAGATCTGTTCCGTTTTGTTCTGTTTCTAAATTTCCACCAAACTTGCACACCAACTCATCATCAGTGGGTTCGCACATTGGGTTAAAACTCTAACACAACAGAATAGCATGCAAACAGTTAGTTTCTGAATTTCTTGAATGATTAAAACTTATATAACTCATGAGGGCTCAAATTCATTTACCTTGATGTTGCCAAGCATCAAAGAAGAACCGAGCTTTACTTCGCCCACCATAGTATCGTCTTTGTCATCAATCTGACACATATCATCATCACAGCTGTTTCTTCCCCAAATGGGTCTGCTTTCCAGCAACTCGTTAGGATGTATAGTTGAGTGTTGGAAACTGCCCAAATTACACATATCATCTGAATCAGGGCAAGTTGACATCTCACTGCAACAACATTGATGATACCATGTCAAAAGGCTCCAAAAAGTCATAGCATTCTCTGATTTTGCAAGTTCCAAAGAAGCATAATTGTAATACTTACAAGGTGTGCAGGTTGGGAGAATACGATGGAGATCGAAGTTCTGAATCTTCCTGATGATAGCAAGTTAAGCGTCACTAAAAAGATTTAAATGGTGAAAAACAAACACAACATTGTCCAACACCTCACTCAATACCATGACAGAAGTACGAAAAACAGGCTCAGATTCCATATGTTCCCCAGTTACGAATGGATGCTGCACGTAGTTGAAAGAGTGTAAGAACTCGTTAAAATATAGGGGTTGGCTTGAGCATTGTCAGCCAAATCCAACAAATTGAAATAGATGTAGACAATATGCAAGATATATTACAGGAAAAGAAACTCCAATACAAAAAGAAAAATAATTGAGATTTAATTTACCTGAAGCAACTCAGATGCCACTGACCTCAAATGTGGTTCCCTGCCATAGGACCAAAGTAAACATAAACTCAGAACATCATACATCGACTGACCCATTCCTCTGTCTCTCTATCTAGAATGTGAGAGTAAATTGATTTCTCCACAAGAATCATATTTATAAAATAAATGGAACAGGTAAATGCAACACATATCTTGGAGAGTGTGAATTCCAATTACAATGATTTAAAAAAGACAAGAACAGTAGCATACTTTTGTAGACATTTTAGCAAAAAATCTTTTGCCTCAAAGGAAAGATGCTCAGGGATTGGTGGATGAGACTTTGTTGTCCCTATATGGAAGAGAGCAGCAACCTAGAAAAACAATACCATTAGTGCAACAAGCAAGAGGAAAAACTTTCTTAGAAGATTAAAGAATTAACAGAATAATTACCTCTTGGTACTGTTGGCTCCAAGGAGGCTTTCCAGTGGCCATCTCAATCACAGTACATCCAACACTCCATATATCAGCCGAGCTGGAGAGTTATTCTTATATGTCAATATTCATACTTATCCAGGATAGAACGAATAGATAATGCAAAATTCTGGTCACTATTTAGGAATCACTACCATAGTGATAACCCAAGATAATAGAGAAAAGGCATGTCATAATCGTAGCATGCTTGAAATCAACTAGATGCTACAATGGTAATAGTTCTTACAAGCTATGACCAGTCTGGAGAATAACTTCAGGAGCCATCCAGTATGGTGTACCCTTCATAGACTTAGCCCCAGAAATGGTTGCCTGCAACAGCGCACCTCTCAATTTGATAGGAAATGAATTATACAAGTAACCAAGCATAACAAAAATAATACAACACCTCTAAAGAGAAATGAAGCCAAGAAATTTATGTACCAGCTCTACGACCTGTTTGGATGCCCCAAAATCTGCAAGTTTGATGCATCCCTTATTATCAACAAGGATATTTGCTCCCTGAAAGTTAATAGGAGATACGTATTAGGCACTTACAAGAAAAAGGTCAGGAGAAAGTGAGAAACATTCTTTACATGCATATCATTTGCAGTTACACTGGGGGGGGTCCCTACCTTAATGTCCCTGTGCATGATGCCATTTTTGTGTAAATATTCTAGCCCCAATAACAACTGGTTGGTGTAGGTTCTTATAACCTGCTCAAAAAAGATTGTATAGTTTAGAATTTAAAACAAATACAAGATACAAAGTTAGTTGGCAAGAACTTACGGCCTCAGGAAAAGATCCAAATTTCCCCAAAAGCGATGATATGGATCCACCAGGGACAAATTCCAACAGAATATTTAAGGTGTCCTCTTCCCTCACTGTACCCAAATATCTCTAAAACCCCAAAACAAAGTACAGGGTCAGAAAAGTGTTATACTTCAAGAGCTGATATAGACACAAGGCAGTCCTACTCACAACGATGTTTGGATGAGACAGATTCTTTAGAAGCTTCACTTCTTCCTCAAGCTCCTTGATATGAGCCTACTTGTAGCGTTAAAACCATTAATCAACAAATTATAAGCAACTAAAAAGATAAGATATCCATTGTAATACTAGGCAAAATCATCAAAAAATGTTTTAGATGTCCAAAAAATACTGAACATTGTTGCTGAAAGTTAAATGTACAAAGTATAGATATATAAAACAGAATTCGTAACACTTTTTATACACAACATCCACTCATACACCTCATCCACCTCAAACAACTCATATACGTGCACAAGCACCTAAAATAGATGGCAGCTATCCATTATATTTGCTTCCTATGGGCACGTAAAGGCTCATACACTTAGAGTGACACTTGTGCCCACTCTCCCACACCTGAATGGCACCTAATACTCACCACATCCTGTGAATACCCAAGAATGGAAGTACGCTTCCTTTTATAGCAAGCTAGCATCAAGGGGTCTGAAAACTGACCAGCTTTGAAACCTCTCCAAAATTCTAGGATCTTTGACTTTGAGCTCATCCAACTATGTGCATTAACGGAAGTGAGAGGTGGTGGAGACTCGATACTGATCCTCAGCATCAAAATCACCATAACTCTTGGCATATATAACTTGAAAAACCTAAATATACAGTAAGACAAGAGTTCAATTCAAACCTGCGCTTTCTCCTTTGAAGCACTATTTGCCGCAATCAGAACCTGCAAAGAAGCAACAACCGTATCAGGATCATACTCTGAACCAAATCCCAGACTAAGCTAGCTATGAAACTAGTAAACTGAAAACTCCATCATAAATAAAAAATCAAACTCAGAAACAAAACTTAGCCAAAACTACAACGAAAATCAACTCCGAGGCGAAAATTGGGAGAAATCCAATTTGATTAGAAACAGCT